AAAAGCCACTTCCTAAGGCAACTGCAACAGGGTGGTGGTGGCTGTAGCAGAGATGCAGCAGCAGCCGGTCTCAGAACCTAAGCAGAAGGTAGAGGAGGACCCATGGTGTCCTGAGCTACTGAGGAAGGGGCTGGGCAAATGACAGGCTTTCCCCAAGGGGGCTCTCACATTTGTGCCCCTGCCCAGAGGCTCCTTTGGAACAGTGTGGGACGGTCCAGATCCTACAGGGTGTGTTCTCCATTTGAAGGAAATCTGAAATAGGAATCTCAGAGAACAAGGCCCTGGCAGGTCAGAGGCCCAGATGTGCCTCTCAGGGAGATATAGATGTCTGTCCAGTACAGCAGGCCAAACCGAACACCCCAACAGCAAATGGGGGTTAAAAGGCAGATCCGACTATTCACCTGTACTGAGAACTGCCAGAGTTTAAGAGGACAGAAAAGGGAGTGAGGCAGACAGAATAATTGCTCAAATCTTTCCCACATCATTCCCACGTTCCATGCCTGGGAAACATTAGGTTTGATTAATTTGGTAGCTTATCCTGCCAAGAGCTGGCCCTCACAGAGAAAAGACCAACCTATGCAGGAACTTTAAGAGAGCGGTTCCATTGCGAAGACTTCCTATCCCCAAACATAGTGCTTTTAAGTCCTCCCACCCAAATACTCCCCAGGTCTCTCCGGTTCTGGCCTGGACTGGCTTTGAGCAGCCCTCAGGGCATGTTCTCCAGGTTCTCTCTCCCCTATTCTGAATTCCTGTCCACCACTTGCTGCCTGCTTCCCCTCTTCCTCTCAGTCTTCAGTTTCTCCCTCAGTGTTTCTTTGGATCTCAGATTCTAGATGAGAAGCGAAGGGGAGTCCCTGGGCAGACTAGTCCTGGCTCAGACAGCCCAGCCGGAAAATCCCAAAGGTCTTTTCTACCCTTCCAGAGCCTCTGGGCAAGGGAGACACGATCTTGGTTCCAGGGTCTCAGTGCCCCCTGTGCCATTTGAGCTGCTTGCACTCATCATCTCTATTAATAACCACCCTCCCTCCCCCACTGCCAGTGCTGCCCCCACGCCTGCCCGGCTCCTGTTCTCCGGTCACAGCAGCTCAGTCCTCCAGAGCTGCTGGACCCCAGGGAGAGCTGACCACCGCCTGAGCAGCCGGTAAGTCTCCAGCTCTGTCGTTAGAGGGGCTGGAGCTCACTCTGTTGACTTCTGTGTCTGTGTCTACAACTGGGATTCTTGATCCTGGGGGAGTAGCCCCCTCCCCATCTATGCTCAGCTCCCAGCTGTCCAGTTCAGGGGAGCCACAGAGAGTTGGAAGGAGAGGGGCCCAGGAGGTTAGGGGGAATGGAGATGTTGGGGGAGGCACTAGAAAAAAGGGAAGGTAGACCCCACTAAGTTAGTAGAGTTGTGGATGTGTTTTCGAAACAAGATTCAGCAGAGGACAGCATTTCGCTAAGTGCCAACTTCTGTTAAGGAGGGGCTGGAGTGTGTATCTTCTCCTAGCTTGTCCCCCTCCACTGACAGATCCTATTACTATGTTTCTGTCCTTCGTCAACTCCCCACTGCTGCAATGATATTGCTGAATCGACATGTATCAGGGTTCAAATGCCACCCCCCGACACTCTGCTCTGGGGTCTGGAGTGGGAGAGACTGAAGGAGCAGAGAGCATGGCCATGACCTCCCAGGCCATGTTCCAGCTGGCCCAATGGAAGAGCAACAACTCTCCTTCCTATGGAGAATGTTTTTGGCTGAATCTCCTCAAGCCTGGCAGAACATATCTCTGCCCCCCTAGGACTTAGGGGAAGACTAAGGAGAGACCAGAGCCTGGAATCATAGCCCCAGTCTGATATCTCAATGCAAATAAAAACTTCAAATCATGCCAAGTCAATGAAACTTGGGTGCGTTGCCTTGCCTATATTATTGTTGTTTTTTAAACACCCCCCACTCCCACTATGTTCTTAAGCTCTGCATCCACTTTATGTAAAACAGCTCACAGGAGGCTGGGAGCTGGGGTACCCAAGATGTACCCAAGATGGGGGCTGGGTACATCTATACTTCCTGCCCTGCCTCCCAAGAAAATAGAAGCCCTAAAGCGTGAGTTTTCATCTTTTGGGGGAATACATATTTCTTTGAAAATCTGATGAAATTTTGTCCCTTGAAGCCTTTAACCCCAGGTTAAGAAGTCTGCCCTTGGCTGGGCAATGGCTCGTGCCTGTATTCCCAGCCCTTTGGGAGACTGAGACAGGAGGCTCACTTGAGCCCAGGAGTGTGAGACCAGCCTGGGCAACAGAGCGAGACCCCCGTCCTTACAAAGAATTTTAAAAATTAGTTGGGTGTGATGGTACATGCCTGTAATCCCAGCTACTCAGGAGGC